TTTTCAAAAGTCACTTCCGGTCGTCAGCTATGTCCGATCTCCGCATTTTTCAAAAAAGTTTTGTCTGAGTCATATCTCAAAAACGTTAAGAGATGAAGACACAAAATTTATATGAGTAACAGATCTTGATAAGTAGGCAAAACCATTTGGGTTAAGATCGTCTGCCGTCACTTCCGCTCGTCACAGGAAGTGATAAAAAAAGTCGAAAATTTCAACTTTTCTTTTATGAAACTTTTTTGAATAACTTTATAACATCTTATTTGTAGTTTCGAAATATATCAGTCCCACCGGATACAAAAACGACAACTTCCGGTTATAAGAGAAAAACTACATAATTTGAATATTTTTCTTTCCCATAAATACTTTTATAGATAAAGTATTTGTAAAGATTTATTGATATGTTTTTTAGACTGCATATTTCTACAATATCGTCAGATATCTTTGTAAAATTCACTTCCGGTCGAGTGATTTCTGTCCTCAAATTTAGAAGTTAATAGCTAGATCTCGTAAACCGTAAGAGATTAAGACATCAAACTGATAGGTATGGTAGACCTTGATGAGAAGACAAATCCATTGAGGTTTATATCGTCTGCCGTCACTTCCAGTTGTCTCAGGAAGTGATCAAATAAATCAAAATTTTCAACTTTTCTTTATGGAATCATTCTTAGTTTCGAAATAAGTCAGTCCCACTGGAAACAAGAAACAAGAACGACAACTTCCGGTTATTAGAGAGAAAAACTGCATAAATTGAGTATCTTACTATCCCATATATATCTTTTATAAAAAGAGTATTTGAAATGATTTTAGGACATGATATTCAGAATGCAAATATCTAGAGTAATCTAAAATATCTTTATTAAAATTTACTCACTTCCGGTCACGTGGTTTTTTGTCCTCAGAATGAGAAGTTAACATTACGAGATCTCTTAAACTGTAACAGATCAAGGCACTTTACTTAGCATGAAGATTGTGCAACAGACATAGGGTAAAACGCGTTCGTTGTCACTTCCGGTCGTCACAGGAAGTGATTAAAAATGATTTTACAAATGTTATTAAGACTATAAATGTCTAAAGTAACGTCTAGAATCTTGGTAAGTTATACCTCCGGTTGTTTGTTTTCCTGTAATCATTGTAAATAGTATGTGCCCTTTTTAACATAGATAACTTAACTTATAATCTAGTTTAATCAGACTAACTTGAATTATCGTTGGTATGTAGATGTATTAAATGTCTTCGTATCATTTAATCGTATTGTAGATTTGGCAATGGGATCCAACAATGGAATTTAACGACTTTAAATTACATAATCGAACCCAACGAAATTCGTTTTCATTTTATCAATCATTATTATGGAGCTATATATGATTAAATTATAATAATGATCAGAAAAGAAATAGCTCTTTTTGTTGCCAGGTAGCAGATCATCATATCGAACACGACGCTACGGGTCTCTTTTGATCTGAACGTCTGCGTTTTTCTATGCGAAGTGATCTGACCCTTTGGATCAAGATTTTTAATGTTATTAATATTAATCTCCAGAATGAAGGGTTTTGTAAACTTTTAATTGCGAAATTGAATATCTGAATGTATATCTCAAAAGTAATATCAAAAATAAATCTTTTAATCTCTACAATACGAAGACTTCTAAGACTTTTTTTCTATTCAGTGTGTATGCTGTTCGTTTTCTTTATTTTTAAATTAGTTGTTTTTATACTCAAACTCATACTCATAATGAGTTAAGATTTGAATAAACGTGTCAAGAAGAAGGTAAAGTTTCAGCATTAATGTGCCCTAAAAATTTTATGTTCTTAAAAAGTTATAATATTGGCTTTAACAATAGTTGAGTAGATGAATGTGATAAATCATAAAAGAATATGGCATGAATGAAGACCTTTCTGGTAGTAAGACGTCATTAATTTGGTGCAATTCTAAGTTTAACGCAGAAAAGCCTCAAAATGACTCATTTCTGTGCTTATTTTCCTTTAGAAAATAGTGTCTGCCACTGTCGCCCACTTTAATTTTTGGATATATTATGTAAACTGTTATGAAAAATCATATATCTCAAAATCTTTCCGGGCGACGGTGGCAGAGTATGTTTTCTTGAAGAAAATTCCACTGAAAATTGATGTCTTCTGCAACTTTTTAAGAAAATACGGGAAAATGCACAAGTTAATGACGTCACAATTAGCATTAAGGAGGTCATATGAGAAAAACGATTTGTATATTCTTGCTGCAGGGAACTTCTATGATTAGGAAAGAATTAATTTTGTTTTCTTATATTACGTTCATATTTTAGAAAAATATCGGGCTTCCTTTGTATTGGAACTGTACCTTCTTCTTTAAGGAGAAATATATTTGCTGTCATCTTTGGCACATGGTATACAGATTTTTCGTTTAAAACATTTAGACTTTTCATCTTCTCTTCCTGATGAATGCAAGAAAAGGTTTATTTGAATTTATTAGTCGATATACTGTTGAATGGAAGGAAATAATTTGATTCAATTCAATTTTTTACACGTTTTTCGGAAAGAAAAAACTCAAGATTTGCGATTAAACTATTTCAAACCGCCTTTTAAGTGCCAATGGCTTGAAAGTTACATAGACCTTTAAACACGCATGAGACTTTTTTTACAGTAAACATCTAACCCAATGGAGAAACATAGAAACAGAATGATTCATTAAATAGAGATACAGTGGAGCAGCGTTATTGTTGACAACTTACACGAACGATCACGTTACACGAACGATTCCACACGATTAACGCACGATTAATCCTGTTACACGAACGATCCTGCACGAACACGATTCTACACGTTACACGATCTTACACGATTGTTAACGCAAACGCACGATTCTTCACTCAAAATAGTTCAAAATATTTAGGAATCGTTACTTTCAAAACGAAATACGGCTTAATACTTATTTTAGATTTCAAAGAATTATCAATTTTATTTTACCAACTTTGAAAAAAAAAACGGACATGTATATTTCTGGAACTATATATATGTATAAGACTTATTTATTATTTTAGATTATAAATAATTATTTAGGTAATTCTTCAAGTTAAGAAAACAGATTTTTTTTTCGTTCTATCAGAAGTTGTACATGTAGGTAGACCGTTAGATTTGATTGAAATGGATTTCATAATATGCAAAAAGGGGGATACGATTTTAAAAAATGGCAGCATGGGATGACTTAAATAACATGTAATATCCATATCATTCCATTTATTCAATGTTTGTGAATCTCTAAAAATGAACTTGAAAATGAACCAAACCTCTTACAACACGGTGATGCTTAGAATATTTTTTTTTTTCAATTGACAACATATATGTATCCTCATTCGTGTTGTAAATTGGTGATAATCTGCCCAGTGGTTTTTGAGAGAAATAATTTTTTTCAGCAACACCACTTTTTTATTGGTCACATCCCTATGTTTTTGTGTAAAAGAGAGCTCTTTGGTCTGGGATACTCTGTGACAAATTTAACAAAATTGGCAAATGGTTTCTTGGGACATTGCCCATATTCAGAAAAATTATTAATAAGCACTACACGTTACACAGATTTACATAGCATTAGCTCTATTAGCCAGAAAAGCTAAAAAAAAGTTATGGTTCAACAGTTTTTTATTCAAACTCAAATCCAACAGGAAATGTCTTTGTAAGAATGTTTTTCAATAGAAGTACTGAAAATATTGTTAATAAAAATGTCAAAAATGCTCATTTTCTTTACCTAATTTAATTATTTAATCAGTAAAAATGTTGCTAATGGCAATAACTTCTTCTGAAGTCTCAACATTCAGGTATTTTCTTTATTTCATTTCTATTGTAAAATGGTTTCCCTAATACATTTATTTCGAATTGAAACAAATGTATAAAGTATCAATTACTTTTGGAACTTTCGGTATCAGAATTATGTATTTGAATCAGTTTTTACCCAATTTTATAATACTGTTAACTAAAGATATGCGATTTCTTATGCTGAGATACACTTTTCTTTATGTTATTCATAAAAAAAATGTACAATGTTTTATTGTAGTACTGTTCATAATGATAAGGTTGCTTATGCTGTCGGTTAAAATGTACTATCGTCTTGAAATATTTAAAATGTGTTAACATTTATGTCAATGTGCTTTATTTACATAGACATACTATATATAATTTAATTTTAAAAGTATGATTAATCAAAATGCATTTATTCTCTCATTGTCATCAGAATATAATTTTTTGTTTGTTTGATAGAAATGGCATTAATTCACTCAATGTCATAAGAATATAATTTTTTTTTGTTTGTTTGATAAAATGGAAAAATAAGATAATGTTTTTCTATCATACTTTATACAAAAATTATGATGAAAAAGCGTTTTAAAAAATTTATACTGTATATTTACCTTTTACAATTATCGTAATTATCGATTATAAGAATGTGCATATAAAATATCTTTATTAAATAATGTTTTTCCCTAGCAATTTACAAGAAGAAAAATAATGGGAATGAGTTATCTATATAATGGCGCGAGCTATAGTTAGGGCAAGTTGTCCTAAATTCGGGGCGTGTTGTCTTTAATAGTGTTGAGGGGGAGTTGTCTTAGGGGCGAGTTGTCCTGATTTCGGTAGAAATACCTTTCTGCACTTTCAGAAATACCAGGCTCTTTACTGCATAGATTGATGTTAAAAAGGAAAATAAAGAGCAAATTCAAACATACACATAGCAATGCTATATCCCCTCTCAAACTTGTTTTAATGAGGGAATATATAACAAGCAGGTTGAAAGAAATGCTTCTCGGGTTTTATAAAGCAAATATTACACCAATAGGTCTGGTAATACAGTGTAAATGTTAAAGTCTGACTCACTAAAGCACAAATCAATTCTGTTATTAACCCTATGATTCAGAAATGCATTTAAAGGTGTCATTCGTAAATCAATATAAAAGAATGATCGAGTCTGAGTTTGGCTTTGTTGATTTCAGTCACCTGATTAGAATACCATAGCTACCAAAATCAATATAAATCCAGGATAGGATGTTTATTACAGAATGAAATGGAAACGTTAAGTTGAAAATTGACAAGAAATAGTAAGTTTATAACTAATACTTTTAGTATGTTCTGCAATTTATAATTGTTTTTTTTTACCAAAACCATGAACTTTTGCCATAAGAAACACGTGAGCCATATATGCTCACCTGGGTCACCTTGGAATTGCTGGTCTTTTTTTTTTTTAAGTTTTTCATTAACGAAAATTTTAATAACAATTTCTATTTGAACAAACATGAATCAGAACAGTAAGGGGATATTCATGTATTGATCTAATTGCTCATTGTCATGCTATTCTTGAGTAGAAGATTTCAAATAGAAAAATTCTAGATGTATTCCAAAGTAAAAAAAATATGGTCCTTTATTTATCCCTACCTACCCTAAGAGGCCACAATTTGACCGATCTTTAAACTGCACTACTTGAGGATATCTGAAATTAAATTTCATTAATCATGGTCCTGATGTTCCTTAGAAGATTTCTAAATATTTTTTTTTCTTCAATATGTTCTAATTATACTCCAGAGAATGGATCAAAATGTATAGCGATAATTACAGTCCCTGAAACTTTCCCATTTTCCCGTTTGCTAACTTTTTGTTCACCGTGCATTCAAGGTTCAGCGCGCGCTCACCATGGAGACAATCGAAATTAAAAACAAATGTTTATATTTTTTCGCTCTCATTAATATGTATTAGTGTACAAAGATTGAACCTGAGCAAAAAACAGATTATATCAGATTATATCTAAGGCAGGTCATGGTCATCGGAAAGTATCAAAAATTCGATATACCTGAGCATTTCTCATCAATATGTTTTAGTGTAAAGTTTGAAAAAAAAATATCTTGAAAAGTTCTTTTTAAAACTGAGCTTAATGCTTATAAGGAATATAGGTTAAAGGGAAGGTTAAGGTAAGAACAAAAATGGTGACATATTTGAATAGCTCTCGTCAGTATGTATCTGTGTATGAACTTTGACAAAAATATCTTGAATATCGTATTTGAAATGGAGCTAAATGTAAGGTATGTTGGCATGTAAGAAAGGATTAAGGATATGACCAACACCATATGCTTTTTGCTTTATTCTTGGTGGAGCATATAAATCAGGAGACGGTTTAAATTATCTAATTTCAGTTTAAATAATGAGTTTATAATTTTCATTCAGATACAGATAGCTCTTCTTTGTCTTAAATTACCACAGATATGGCGTTCTCCCAGGGACAAGACGTCATTCGATGTCAGCTTTGTTCAAATCCCGTGGAACACCACTGTAATCTCTGTCTTGTGGACCTTTTCTCATGCATACCAAAACACATGGCCGACAAATCAAGGAAACATGAAGTTGTTGAATATACCTCCAAAGGAGAACACACCTTTATCCTTGCAACATGTCCCACACACAAGAAAAAGAGATGTGAGACATACTGCCAAGACTATAAAATACCAGTATGTGTTCAGTGTGTGATAACCTCACACAAAAAGCACGAATTTACAAATATCAATGATATCCTTCAAGAAAAGAAGCAGCAGATAATATCCGACACAAAAGAATTGGAAAAAACTATTCTTCCAAAATATAGAAACGTCATCACAATACCTACAATCACTGCAGAGTTTGACAAAGTTTTTGCTGCCATAGAAGCGCAAGAGGAGAACATGTGCAAAGCTGTACATAAAGAAGCCAATCGACTCAAAGATGAGGTCACCAGTCAGAAGAAAGAAGCTGTAAGGAAGAGTCGTGAAAGCCGGAGTTTGACAGATAAAGCTGAAAAGGAACTCAATTCCATTATTCAGAATAACAAAGATATTCTTAGAAGCAATGAAACCACAACCATAATAAACTATAAATCAAGAAATGTGAATTTCCAAAACGGCCCAAAATTACCAAATATTTCTTATCCACGGTTTGTTATTAAGCAAAAACAAATTGAGATTGGTTTTCTTAGGACAGAATATTCAGATTCTTCTTCAGAATCTTCCTCAGAATATTCTGATAATGAATATGACGATTAATTTACAACAGGAACCGGTACCTCTGCTTCTTCTTTTTGTGATTCTTCTGATGATGATGATATTCTATTATACTAAAAAAATGTGATTGTACTGACCATTTACTCACTAGTAGAACATCTGCTTTTTTTCCCCAGCTGACTGTAGATATCGATATAAATGTACGGGGGGTGGGGTGATGAAAAAGTTTGTAAACTACATCTGTATATATATTACCACAACTTAGATCAGAAACAAACTTGGCATTTATATAACCATAAATATGTTCTATATATGGCATGTTTTACGTAAGATTTTCCATCATGTTTATGACGTCATAGTGTGAAAAATGACATGCATTTGTAGATGAAGTGACGAAAACAATTATTGACTCAGTTGAACACAAGAAAGGACGGCTGGTTATGTTTATCTTAAATTTGGAAAATCATTTTTAGTAATACAAAAATGATTTGTTTATAAGGTTTATGGCGACAAAAGACTTGCCAAAAGTTCAATAAGTAATTAGTTGGATTGTTTATGTGAACCTAGGGATCCTGGAGATGGTTAAAAAGATGGTCGATTTAGGTGCTAATAGACCATCGTCCAATTTTTAATATATCTAAAAATTAAAAAAAAAACGGAATACAAAAATTAGATTGTCGTTATTAATACAAACCTACACTCGTGATGTATCGGGATCCTCAATCAACTGCAATACACCGACTAAACAGATGTATCAGGACGAAAAATACATCTGCATTAAATCTGACCAAAATATATAATACATTGTATATTGCTTAACATCCCTCTTGAAAATTTTTCACTCATATGGAGACGTCACCGTATGCCGGTGAAGGGCTTCAAATTTTGACCTATACTCGGCACTCAGGGTCATTGAGCAGTGAGGGTTCTTTAACGTGCCAGAGCCTACTGTGACACGGGACCTACGTTTTTAAGGTCATATCCGAGAAACCCATGACTTTCACTTCTAGTGCCGAGCGCTTGGCGAAGGAACAATCACTACCTTTGTTTACGTCTTAGGTATGACGCGGCGCCGCGATCGAGAATCGAACACGGGCCTCCCGATCACAAAGCGAACGCTCTACCACTAGCTATAGGCTACCGTGACCGGTAACATATATAAACATCTCGTTTATATAAACATCTTCAGGGCCCTAACTCATCTGCAACACACCTCAGAAAGTATCTACATTTACATTCTGAACTCAACATGTTCAACACAAGTATACAAACAGACTTCATATAGCGTTCTATGTTAGGATCTTGCATCACTTTAGTGAAAGTGAGTTTGAAAAGAGATATGTCCACATTTGAGCAATTTGTAAGATAAAGTGAGTTACAGTTAGAAAAAATCGAATATCTTAACAATAAAATAACTCTTAATGTCCTAAAATTTCAGTTACTTTAGATTGTTAACACATGAAATATTACAAAAAGAACTCATTCTACTTGATCCTCATTGGATACTCAACGGACCAAATTCAGTAGACGGTTTAAGCTGGACACCATGCTCATATTGAGAAAACGAATTCGACGTTTGAATTCGATTTCAACAGGCATATTCTCTTCCTTTATTTGTTATGCATGTAACAGCTGAATGTTTTAGATGCAAATTTTAATTTGAACTTGAAACAAAATGCTGAAGCAGCAAAAACTTCGTATAATGTATATTTCAGCTGTTTATAACAAAACTTCATCTTTAAATCTGACGCCTATGGCTAAGGTGCGCTTAAAAATAGTTGAACAAACAAACTTGCATATGAATGAGAACATAGTAATTTTAATATTGATTAAAATTATTTGTTATATTGCTGAAAATTCACTTCTAGCGACTTTAT